TGTGTGTGTGTGTGTGTGTGTGTGTGTGTGTGTGTGTGTGTGTGTGTGCCTGCCTCCTCCATGGTTTAGAGCAATCACAATCTGATAAATGTCTGCTCTCAGAACCATGAATGTTCTTCCCTAGAACAGAAAATCTTCACAACAATTTCTCCCCACCATTTGTCTTGCAAAACTTTTCCAAACTGACCTTTGCTGATGCTTTTTTGTAACGTGATGGTCCTGGCAATTCTTCTCTGAACAAGCAGTAGTAAACCCTTTGTCCCAGGTAGCAGCATCACCACAGTCACCAACACGATGAGAAGCAGCCAGCAACTCAAAGCAACTCCATGTTCCCACAGCTGTTTGTGGCTCAGCCCTGGCCGAAGCTTCTTAGCAAGCCTCCTAGGGTGGCCTCAAACTCGGGATCTTCCTGCCTCTCCCTCCTTCAGCAAATCCTACCAACCAGCCGAGTGTAGCTCAAGCCTGAGCTGGGGCCTGTAAGGCCACAGGCAAGCAGCTTTTTCGTGAATTCATACCACGAATGTTGGGCGCCAGATGTAGCATGAATCTTAAAGGGTCTTATGAATTAAAACAAACCCAGGCCAGGTATCAGGGTGAATGCTGGAAGATCAGAGAAGCAGAACAAGCTTGCATATATTGTATATACTTATTGGATATGTTTTTTCTTGTATTGGCTATAAGCTTTTTAAAATTTTAGACAAAAAAAAAGGGAAATGTGGTTGATATATTTGTGCACCCAACAAGCTTATCTGGGGTCAGAGAACAGAACAGCCACTAGATATAGAGGCCAGGAAATGGTGGCACTCATGCCTTTAATCCTATCACTTGGGAGGCAGAGATCCATCTGGATCTCTGTGAGTTTAAAGCCACACTGGAAACAGCCAGGCATGGTGACTCATGCCTTTAATTCCAGGAGGTGAGCCTTTAATCCCAGGAAGTGATGGCAGAAAGCAGAAAGGTATATAAGATGTGAGGACCAGGAACTTGAGGCTGGTTAAGCTTTTGGCTGGTGAAGCTTTCAGGCTTTTGAGCAGCACAGTTCAGCTGAGACCCATTCTAGATGAGGACTCAGAGGTTTCCAGTCTGAGGAAACAGGATCGGCTGAGGAATTGGAGAGGTGAGGTGGCTGTGGCTTGTTCTGCTTCTCTGATCTTCCAGCATTTAACCCAATACCTGGCCTCAGGTTTGATTTTATTAATAAGACCTTCTAATAATTCATGGTATATCGGGACATCTATCTTTCTTGACTAAAGTTGCTGCCATAGTGACAGGCAAACCCTGGTTCCTGCCTCTGCTCCCTGGGGATTGGACAGAATTAGAAAAGCAGGCAGACATCCACCTGCCCACCCAGTTGTTCTCTAAAGAGCCTTTCAATGCTCTCTGTAGCAAGCAAAGTAGCAGTTCGGTAAACATGCACTATTTGTTGCAGTGAGCGTAGTTTACTTTTGCTTTGAAGGGCTCGGGGTGGATCCTGGGGCCTCCCAGGCGTACACCAGTGATCTACATCTTGACAGCCCTACCCACTTTACCTCCCTTAGTTCCTGTGGTGTCTCCAAGCAGGGTTCCTGGCTCTTGTTACACACATGGTCAAACAGCCAGTTTAATTCTTGTGTATGTCTATGCCTTTCCTATAACCAAATATCATCTTCCTGCATGGATAGATTATAAACTGTTTGCTCCTGTGGCTGCTTGTTGAGTCACAGCTAAGGTTTTTCTAACGTTAAATACTTGTTTAGTCAGGGTAGTGAAGTCCTGATGCAAAGTCCTGATGCTTGCTAATTCTGGAACATGCATTCATGTGGAGCACTGACATCAGCTGGCTTATCTGTAAGGGACTCCAGATGTCCTGGGTGCCATCATTTTCCATTACTGGAGACCATCCTGGGCATGGCTAGGGTGCGGCCACATCCACCAGATGCCCTTTGCATCAACCAGAAACTTCGAGAACAGCAGGGCCCTCACCCTGAGTGGTGTGGTTGGTTGGGTAGCCCTTGTTCAAAAGCAGTGGACGAATCCACCCACCCCATCTGTGTGGCCATCTTTTCAGGTCTTCTCTAGGTGTGATTGCTCACTCAGGCTGGGCTCTAAGACCCTGATGGTGGCTGTGGCTTGTTCCTTTGTCTCTCTGATCTTCAGGCAAATTTTATTAGGGTACACAATATATCACCACAAGGAAGAACTCGCCCTCCCCTCTTAAAACGACATTGGGACAGACCTCTCTATAGCAAACTGTTAACTTTGTGGAGTAGCCTCCCCCCAGTCCTTGCCCTCTTCTCTGTTGACGGTCCTTCAGCAGGGACACAGACCTCTTTGTTTTAGTCTCCACCACGTGATTACCCATCAGTATCTGAAGATGGCCATTGTGTTCCATCATCCCATGACAGCCTCCCACCCGTTCTGAAGACTCACTGTGTCAGTATGCAGAGGTCTGCACGTGACTGTAAAGGACTTGTCACATCAGGGGTTTAAATTTACAACACAAAGTAAGGGTCATTTCCAACTCAGACAAGGAGATGGGGCCTCAGCATAACTGACTTAATCACTGTTGGATAATAATTGACAGGGCAACACCTAAACCCACTGCTCCAATTTCCTAATCTGCAGGGAGTCCTGACTTTTTTTTTTTTGTCCAGTCTCTCCCTCTGACACCATCTACATTCTTATGAGGAACTGTTTCCTGTGAGAGAGACATCCATGGTCCCAAGTTTTACCTTTACGGTTTTCACCCTTGTCTTAGTCTCTGCTCTGTTGCCGTGGAGACACCATGACCACCACAATGCTTATAAAAGAAAGCATTGAATTGGTGGCTCACTTATGGTTTCAGAGGTTTAGTCCACGATCATCATGGCGGGAGCATGGCAACAGGTAGGTATGGTGCTAGAGAAATATTTAATAGCTACATCCTGGTCCATGGGCTAAGAGAAGAGAGAGAGATAGAGACAGAGACAGAGAGAGATAGAGAGACAGAGACTGGGGCTGGCATGGCTTTTGAAACCTCAGAGCCCACCCCCAGTGACACACTTCCTCCAACAAGGCCATGCTTAAGCCTTTTCAAATAGTACCACACCCTGATGACTAAGCATTCAAATACGTGAGCCAATGGGGGCCATTCAAACCGCCGCAACTCTGTTCACCAAATGGCTTTGCAAGTTCCTCCCATCGGGAGGTAGGGCTGATTTCTCCACCCTTGACTTTGGGTTCAATAGCAAGAGGCAGAAATGACCTGATCCAGTTCTGATCTCGGGTCCCCACAGGCGTTTCCTTATTCCTGTCCTTTTACAATTCTCTTTTGAGATGGGATCTCGTTACACACAATCGCAGAGCCAGGCTGGCTGGAACCTCCACCTTCAGCCTCGTGAGTGCAGGGCTGCAGTGAGGCATCATGGGACCTGCTTCTCCATTCATTCGTTTGTGCAGCTGCCGCCAGTGCACACTCAAGCATAGCCTTGGCTACGGAGCTAGAAAGCTTTCCTGGGTGTGACGTTACCATACCTTGGGAAACTTACTGTGTGGTTCTTACTCAACTTTCAACAAGGGTAGACCTCCCTTAGCCCGCCCTGTTCCTGGCCCTTCCTTCCCCGAATGCCTGGGCTGGCTTCCTCAGCATCCTTGTCTTCACTCATTTACAAACCGAAAGCTTGGGAAATGCTTCCCACTCTTAATGGCCAAGCCCCCCCTGGGTCCCCACAGCCTTTACCCACTGGACATCGCATCTTCTCACTCGACGCCGGAGACCCAGCCGCCAGGTTCTTGGTTCCCTCAGCCTCGGTCCAACGCTGACTCTGCCCCTGCCTTTGCTCCCCAGGTTCCTCTCACACCCACTCTGTCTCTTGCTTGATTGATGTCCCTGTCTTAGGAACCCTCATCTCCCACACCCAGAGAGCCAGTTCTCAGCTCCCACAGAGTAAACAGCCAGGGGCAGCCCTCTCAGAGGGGTCTGGCCACTGGCTAGAGAAGTATGGGTGTACGGGAGGCAAGTGACCCGGGTCTAGACATGAAATTACTGCAAGAGTCCAAGTGCCCAGTGACAGAGCCTGGCAGGAGTCGGAATCACCACAAGTCCTTGTTAGAGTACCCCTGAAAAAGCAGAAACTTGAAGGTTTACAGTTCTCCACTCTATTTCTTCCTATTTTTAGTTTTTAGAGTGCTGGGAGGAACTCAGGGCCTCCTGCATGCCAAGCCAGTCCTGTGCCTCAGTGTACCTACATTCCCTGCTTAGGATTTTTTTTTTTTTTTTGAGGACTCAGGGAGGCAACTTGGTATTGACAGTTAGTCCCGTCTTGCAGCTTGCTAAGCTCCTTGTCAGTTGTGCTATATTTGCTACTTGAGTAGGCCTCTCAGACTCCTGACATGCAGTCATTGATGGGCGGGTTAGTTTCAGCCAAGCCACACAGATCCTGTTAACTATAGAGTCCCTGAGGACGCCAGTCAAGACCATTGTTTGTTTTAGCCAGCAGAGGGCAGCACGTCCCAGAAGTTGAAGGAGAGGCCCCTTTGGAAGAGATCTAATACACACTAACTTGAGCTTGCGTTCCACGGGATTCTGGGATGAAGGAGAAGAAAGGCAAGAAGGCACAGTTCTGCCCAACCCCCACTGCCGAGAGCCTGCGAACCATCGACAGGCAGGGGCATCGAGAGCCCGGAGGTCATCGGGCACTCGGGAGCCATGGAGATGAAGTCATCCGCGTGTATGGATTCTGAATGCAACGCCAGGAGATGAAGACAAGTGAGGGCAGAAGGTTAGGCATATCGTCACTGAGATGTAGGACTGGTGTGGACCGCATGGCGATCATCGCTGCTTGATAAAGTTCCAGCATTTCGACGTTCGGGTCACACTTCTCCAGCAGCCTTTTCCTTTTCTTTTTAATGATTCCCACTATGTGTTGTGGGAGTTCCCTTATGCCTTTTCCTGTGGGAAATTTTGTGTGGGCTTTGAAGGGTGAAAATGTATAATATAGCAGCCCCTTTCAGTAATATATATAATTCTTGGAGAAAAAACTCCCTGCCACCGTGGAACCATATGGTGTGATGACTTGCACACAGGAATCCCATTGTGCCCTCCTGATTACATCAAGAACAGGAATGTTAGAGTTTTACTAGACACACCTGATCCCAGGGATGAAACGCCTACAATCCAGTTCCAGAGCCTGAAGCCATTAAGGGCAAGAGTTCAGTTAATAAGCATAGAGAAATCAGAATGGTATGGTATAATGGGAAAAGAATAAGACATCAGGACCTTCTGCTTTGGTGGCGTATGTGGGGAACAGGCCCATGTACCAAGACTAAGACACAAAGGGATGCGATTATGGAACAGCTCAGTGCTTATGCTGTATCGTGCCCTGTAGCTAGAGTTTTCCGCCTTGCCCACAGTCAGGACAA